GACGCCTCCGCCGTTTTGAACACGACGTGGTATTCTATCCACAACAATGGTTAAGACTGAAGTCTGTATATTTCATATTAGGTTAAGTTTTGAAAATATAACAAATGTTAGAGCAATATGGTTAAAAATAACTGAAGTCTGTATTTTATTTTGAGTTAAAATTTAATATACTATGGTAGGCTGAAGTCTGTTTCCTTTTATATTTATGTATTTTGAATTATTTGTCTGTGATGGACTGGAGACCTGTCCAGGTGCCTCTCACACAGTGATGGCTGGATGTGGGCACCAGTGATACCTGTGACTCATAAAGGAAGAAGTGGGTAAACATGATGGATGGATGAATTATTTGTTCATAGATTTTTATTTTACAATTGTTTTTTATTTTTATTTTTTTAATTCAGGCAACTAAGCTAACCTAATACTGGTAATTTAAGTTACAGAACTGTATGCACTCCTATATTTTTTCCTATTTTTGGTATAAATATAAAATGAATCAAAAAGATTTGATACAGTAAGGAACCTAAAAGTATTGTTTTAAATAAATGTTCTATTTGTTTACATTGTTGTTTAATCTTTTCAGCTTGTCAGCTACATAATTGAAACAAAATTTATAACCATTTCAATCGAAAAATCGTTTTTGAATCAAAAATCGTTTCTGAATCGAAAAATCGATTTGGAATCGTACCGTGACACCAAAAATCATAATCGAATTGGATTGCCAGACAGAGATTCGTACCCCTATTAAGGACAGACTGCAGGTTTCCCTGGACATCTTTAAGACAGCCTGTCAAATTATCAAAGAGCTGTTAAAGCTGCTAAGCCTGCTTTTTTTATCTAACGTGGTTTCAAACAACAGTCACAGACCTCAGGTTCTTTTAATGTTTTTAACTCTGTTGTGAATCCTTGTAATGCTGGTCATGTTGCTGAATCTCCTGCCCTGTGTGAACAGTTTTCCAAGTTTTTTATTTATAAAATCTCTGCTCCGAGACTCTCCTCAACATAATCTTACACAGACCCCTCCTTCTTTCCTCCATCCTCAGCTGCCTTTGAACAGTTTGAGCCTGTGACTCTTGCTGACTGACAGGAGTTTTTCTGTTCCTTTAGGAGAATGTTCTTCATCTCCAGCTCCTCTAATCTGTGGGGTCCCTTAAGAGTCTATTTTAGGTCCACTGCTTTTTAATCTCTACATGTTGCCTTTGGAGTCCATTTTTAGAAAACACAACATCCCTTTTCATTGCTTTGCTGATGATACTCAATTATATCTTCCGATTGAGTCAGACAAGGTCAGTCCACTGGATCCACTCTTGAACTGTCTAAATGACATTAAAGTCTTGTTAAAACTAAGTTTTCTGAATTTAAATGAAAATAAAACAGAAGTTTGGTCAGCTTTGGTAAATGTAACACCCATAACACTCTTGGCCGCTTGGCTTCATACAGCCACTCCAATGTTAGGAATCTGGGAGTTATTTTTGATAGTGCTTTTAAATTAGACAGATAAATACAATTGTGAAATCCAGTTTCTTCCAGCTAAGACTCATTGCCAAGGTGAACTTGCAAAGCAAACTTGCAGAGCAGCCGGCAGGGAATCACATGTGGAGACGTTTCAGCAGACACAGACATACATCATGGATCGGAAATCTCTGCAATTTGGATTGGAAAAATCTGATACGTAAATTATGCTGGTATTGGAACCAGATACCGAATTAGCCCCATCCCTAGTTTCAGCAATCCTAGGGCTGGGTAACTTTCTAAAAAAAAACAAAAGGTATCGGTATTGTAATTGTCTGGTTCCCCTTCAACATATCTTTGTCAGCCATGTCAGCCAGCTCCAGATCAATTAACTTACACCTGCAAATGCAGTCACATTTAACAGAGATGGATCAATGCTCAAGGGAGTGACGAGGAAGGACAAGGTGGGTTTTTTCCCCCCCTCTCTGAACTCATGGAATAGTATCCCAAACGATACTTGCATCGTGGCAACTGAAGACTGCAAATACTCTGAATTTATCACCTAGTTGTGAGCTTGATTGAACTCCTTTAAAGAAGGGAAGTGAGAGTGCACCTCTGTAAATCTCTGGCTAAAACTGTCAGCTTGCTTGCTTGCTTTTAAGTTATTTGTTTTATTGTTTTTACTATTTGCTGTTTTTTGATTTGGTAGTTCATTACTTTTATGGTATCTGTTGAGTTTATAGTTTTATGCTTGTATGTGTTAGTGTATAGCACTTTGGCCAACAGTGTTGTTTTAAAGTGCTTTATAAATAAAGTTGTATTGTACTATACAAACACAAAAACCTCCCCCAGCATGTGTAGTGCTGTGCCTCCTTTCCCCTGAAGAGTTGTATTCATCGTGTTCAGGTTCGTGGTCATGTCCAGCATGAAGTGCAGCTGATTGCTGCTCATGAAAGTTTCACCTCTCCCAGACATTATGCAAAGTGTTTCAGCACCTCCAATCTGGACAGCCACTGGACTCTGTTATGCAGCAGGAGGTCAAATATGCGCTGTCCACCTCATCCAGTAACGAACGGAACTGATTTAAACCTTTAGCCATTATTTTATTGATAATCTGAATGACAACATTCATGACCTCTGTGTATTCTAGAGGAAAAGTTTGTGCGCACAACACCTCTTGGTGCAGGATCAGAGAAACGTCAGTAGCTTTCTATCCACTGCCAGCTTCCGCGAATGTGACGCTTATTTTGAGCGATGAAAAATTATATATTTCATTTTAATTTTTTCAAGATCACAATGATTTTCCAATTTAGAACTACAATAAAAAAAAAAGAATTAAACACAAATAATATACAAATAAATTAAATACTTATGATTTTCCCAAGCCATGCAGAGCCACAGTATAATGATGAAAGAGCCGCGAGTTGACAACCCCTGTTCTAACCCAACACAAAACAACCATTGAAATTTACTCAGCGGGGTCTGCAGCTACAGCCTGCCTACAAAGACGGTGATTAGTGACAAAAGTGCCAGGATGTTACGTCACGTGAGAACTATATATTACATTACACCAGCCAGGAATGGCTGGAAATAAGCCTGTCAGCGTCAAGGAGGGCAGGTTGCTGAGTATTTAAAAATGTTCACCTCTTCCTCGCAATGTCAAGAGCAAGGAGGGTGACAGTCACTCACATGCTATTCAGAGAACCGGGGTTAGGAAAGTAACTTAGGCCCTATTTACAAGGACACGATGGGGGGGAAACATAGGTTTTTTCGTATGTTAATTAGAGGAAAAGATTTGTGTTGACACGGTCGGATTTTGGGTTTACATGCATCCGGAGGATTCCCCTCCGCCATCCCGAATCCACTGTAGTTACCATGCCGGGTCATTAGATGGCGCTGTGAATTTTGTACCTTCACCTAATGCGCATGCGTGCTGCCTCGGCACGCTCCTTTCCTGTGAGCTAAAAAGCTCAGCTAACAACAACGTAACAAGTTAAAGCTGGATTCTGGCTGGATTTTGGATAAGAGTCAAAAGATTTGACGCCAAGCGGGACCGCTTCGTCTAACAGCTCCACACTGGTCGCTGAGTGGACCAGAACAGAGTCGACGATGTCGGACTTTATTCCTTGATAATCAGTAGCTGATTTACAACTGCAGGTAAATCAAATGTTCTTAATAATGTTAGCTTTTGTTTACTTCAGTTACAAAACAACCAACTGAGTTTTTATTTTTCCTGAAAGAAGAAGAAGCAGCTCTCTCCCACCAGGCGGTTCTGAACAAGGCTCGGCCCAGATGAATTGCAGGAGGACGTCGAAGAGACAGATGTTGGATGAACTATTTATTTAAAATTCCCCTCAGTTCTTTTATTCAATCCATTGAATGTTTTAAGTTGCATTAATCAAAGGAGTGGCAGCCTGAACGAGCCAGATGGACAACATGGGACCAGTATATCCAGGATGAAAACAGAGGAGAGTCCAGTTAATTAATGTAGTTTACAGTTAACGTTTTTAATAGTGTGTTCAGTTTAATTATCAATGTTTGTGTGACATACAGTTTGTGGTGTTGAATAAATAAATAAAAATTAAACCCGATGTCTTCATTTTCAACTTTAGTGTTCACGCTATGTGTTTAGCATCATTTTAAATTTGAATTACATAATGTCCAGATAGCTTCATTTAGCTCAGAGCTTCATTATATCTCGCACTAACATAAATACTGTTTATTATTATTAAACTTATTAGTTAGATGTTATAGTGCAGCGTGACGTGTGCGCGTGCCACGTTCTATAAACGGCGATATTACAACTGGATCAGACTGTGTCTGATCAGCGAAAAACATATAGTTTTACAAGAGCACTGTTTGACACCTTTTGATTGAGATAAACCTTTTTTTTTCTCGTTTTGTTTCGTGCAACGGAAATGTCAAAGTATGGCCAGCAGAGGGCTCCAAACTTCATTGTGGCGAATTTCAACACAGTAAGCTCCAGTTTCTTCATTCATTCAACCTTTATTTATATTTAGACAGGTTAATCCCACTGAGCCTCGGGGACTCGCTTACAAGAGAGACCTGATTTTAACAAAGAGTGACAACAGAGACAATCATAAAAAGCATCACTAGTTTAACTAAATAAAAATGTCCATTTGAGGTTCATTTAGTTTTCCAACCTGTGAAACCGGAGAGAGGAGCAAAAAGGACAATGCTGCGTGTTGTTTCCGTCCAGATTGTCTCTGACTTGAGTAAACGGGTGGCGTAAATTAAACATCTTTCAAACCAAGACCAGCATCATTTTGTTGTCTATCACTTCATATTCATGTGCACTTCATGAGCGTTTAGTTATGCAATACACATGACTGTGAATACTCGAGAGTTGAATTATGATAAACGAGTAGTGTTCAAAATATAAGAACACCGCGCTGTCTGTTGAGTGAACATTTCAAACACACAGCCATTGTGTGGGTCTCAGCAGTCAGCTTTACAATAAAAACAGACGTTTAAAAAAAGCCACTCACTTTCATCAGTTAGCATGATAACCGTGTCCAGCTGCCGCAGACGGCCCAGTGTTCTGGTGTAACTTATGACGGTGTTAATGGAGACCTTTATCTGGTAGCGTCGGCTGTTACGGTTAGCTAATTCTGGTTAGCTGCTGCAGTTGAGGGAGGGGTCCTGGCAGCAGAGGTGGACAACAGAAAGAGACCTATAGCTGCCCTCGTTGATGCCGTACTGTTTATGTTTATGCTGTTGTCCACTGTTGTCATCTTTCTTTGTTGAAATCAGGTCTCTCTTGTAAATGAGTCCTCGAGGCTCAATGGGATTTACCTGTATAAATAAAGGTTGATTGATTATGTGACATTAAAATGTCAACACATGAAGTATTGTATTACGTTAAGGTACGCACACTTTCAAGGAAGTTGGAAAGTTTGCGTATATTTACGCATATTTTTACGCAAAATTCAATGTGAAAGATCCCGACCTGTGCGTGAAACATGGCGCATTCAATCAATAGCTCAATTAATTTGATATAACTAGCCAAAAAGCTCCATATTTTTTTGAGTAGCGAATAAAAATATGTACTGACGATTATAAAGCTTGAATAATTTTTGTGCTTTTATTTGCATACTTCCGGTCACTGAACGGAACTACTTTTGGTGTGTAACCATGAAACGACTTGACATCGTTGAGTTTACTGTCTGCACCCATTTATCCCAGAGATTATGATCACGAACCGTCTTGTTTGGAAAACGGGAAACAGCAACATGTTAGAAATCGTCTTCAACTGCAACGGTCAAGCTGTAAATTCCGGGTTTGTAATTTTCATTCTTTCTGTTCAGAAGGGATGTTAGCTACAGTTTTCCGACAGCCGATGGGTTTAGCTTCTTAACCAGGATCCGTCCCTGTTTGTTGCTTAGCATGCTAACAAACTGATGAATGTCAGTGGCTTTTTGAACGTTTAATTTCTACTTATTTTTTTTTTAAACAACGGAAAACTCAAATTAACACAAAATAATTTAGAGTCTGTTAGCATTTGGGCTGCAGACCCAAACTGTCCCTGTTTTGAGTTTTTATTTCTCTCATCTGTTAAGTTACCTAGCTACCATAGCATTTAGATGTTACTTTTGCCAGAAGTCCAAAAGTAACAACAGTGTGACAAGTTGTTAAATATTGATGCCATAATTATTTAACATGACACAAACAAGGTCTGAATAAATTAATTTAGTAATAATTATATGTTGTGTTTTTACTAATCATAATGATATGATAATGATAATCGGCTTTTAACTGGAGTTCAAAAGAGGGAGCACATCCCCCCCACTCTGGCTTCACTCCACTGGCTGCCTGTTCATTTTAGAGTTCATTTTAAGATTCTTTTATTTGTTTTTAAAAGTTTAAATGGTCTTGCTCCATCCTACCTCTCTGAGCTGCTTCACCCATACTCTCCTGCTCGGTGCCTCAGATCAGCTGATCAGCTGCTCCTGGAGGTGCCGAGGTCTAAACGGAGGCTCAGAGGGGACAGAGCTTTTTCTGTAGCTGCTCCAAGACTGTGGAACGATCTCCCTCTTCCCATCAGACGAGCTCCTTCACTGGTCCAGTTTTAAAACTTTTAAAAACACATTTTTACTCCCTGGCTTTTAGCACACACTGAATTTTGCTCTGCACTGTTTTTATTATTTTTTATTGATCTTAATGTTTTAACAACTGTTTTTATGTGTTTAAATGTTCTTGATTTTATATGTACAGCACTTTGTGGCAGCTGTGGTTGTTTTAAAGGGCTTTATAAATAAAGTATTATTATTATTATTATTATTATTAATGAGATTGAACTGATCTGATACTTCAGATGTAAACAAACAGTACTGGTAGAAATGATAATAATCAGTGTTTATGCTGTATTTTAAACTGGTGTGTTGTTGTGTATAATTTAGGTACTATTGCATATTGCAAATTGCTGTATTGTTTTACATTATTAGTGTTTAGCGTATATCTTAGATCTTTTATAATACAGTTTGGCGTTTGTTTAATGTATATCTTAGTGTTTATCTTAGATCCTTATTTATTTATTTTTTTACACTTTATATTTAGCTATTTTGGGGTGTAACTGGGACCCTGTGTACATAATTTTGTTCCACCTCATGCACCACATGAGATGGAAATGACAATTAAATTGACTTGGACTTGGTTATATGGCATTTTAGTTTAATTGATTTTTATTTTATTTTATTTTTTGTATATTGGTTGCAGTATTTCTCAAAATGTACAAGTTAATTATATATTAGTGGTATTTTTATGTAGATGTGTGATTAGGGTGTTGTTATGGTGTTGTTATTATCAGTCCAAGCACAGAGTTGTTGTTTTTTTTTTTTCCAGTAATTGTAGGGAAGACTAGTATAGTTGGTAGATGTTTCAGTAGTGGTGCAACATGAGAAATCTCAAACAGACATAAAGAGTTAAATACTGTAATGTTATTATTTATAAAAATAATGACAATAAGGACTGCCACTAACAAATATTGTATCTGTTTAGTAGTCTTTTTGGTTAATTTATTCTTTTTAACAACCAATTTTTTTGCATGAGCCGATTGTCGTCCATGTTTGTTTTGGCGCCCTCACATAAGTTTGCTGTGTTCCGTTGACTTTAGTTCAACTGACAATCAGTGTAGTCTGTGATCTCTCATCAAATGTCTGATACCCAGTCTGTCATTTTCATAGAAAAATCTGTTGAAACCTGTGTGTTCGTGTGACCTCTTAAGTCTTTTTTTTTAAATCTGCAAATTCTCTGAAAATTGTGTATTGTGTCCCCAGCTTGAGAGAGATTTAAAATTTCCACCCTTGATATAAACTTTGTCTTCTGTACAATTTGCCACTAACACCCTCAGGTACAGAGCACATTTTTATATTTAGTTTGTGATCTACACCATCCTCCATTCTTGTAGTCCTTTTCTTTGTTGAGTTATGGTCTTGACGGCCATTTTGAGTCACCAGACCTTTCTGACTGCATGATAATGACAGGAATTTTGATTCTCCCATAAACCAAACAATAAAACTGTGTGATACCTAAATTCCTTTTCTTCAGGCAACACGGCACTCCCTGTTTGTAGAGAGTGGTTTACCTTTTCTAACTGAATAATGATACAATAATAATACCAAAGTTCATGCTCAATAATCCAGGTATAAAATCCAACAATGTTCAGTCAGGTCAGCTGGATGGTTTCTTTTTTGTGCTGAGATGTTTCGCCCTCCATCCATAGATAGAGAATGTCTTGGAAATATCCCTACCATAACCCAAAAACATAAATTGTTGAAGTCTGTAGCACACTACCGCCAAAATCGAGAGTCTCTTTCTAAGCACTTACCCAACTCCTCCCTCACCTAAGCCTTTACCTCAGCAGCAGCCAGGGCAACACATTTGGCCCACTGATGAGACTCAGCTGCTCCTGGAGACGTACCAGTTAACAAGACTCAATAGGACTCCTTTTTCCTCTTTATGACCTCCCTTACCCAGTGTGCCCACCACCATGGTCAAGATGGTGGCCTTGAGTGGCACCAACAACTTTGAGACTACAACTCAGGGCACTCGCCTTAACAGTGCAGGTCCAGAACATGTCCGACAAGGGACATTAACATCCATCCATCCATCCATTATCTTTACCCGCTTATTCCATTTTGGGTCACGGGGGTCGCTGGTGCCCATGTCCAGCAATCACTGTGCGAGGGGCGGGGGACACCCTGGACGGGTCGCAAGTCCATCATAGGGCCACATAGAGACATACGAGACAAACAACCATTCACTCTCTCATTCACACCTAGGGACAATTTAGAGTTACCAATCAGCCTAACATGCATGTTTTTGGTCTGTGGGAGGAAACCGGAGCACCCGGAGAAAACCCACGCATGCACGGAGAGAACATGCAAACTCCACCCAGAAGGCCCCTGGACCGGGGTTTGAACCAAGGACCTGCTCGCTGAGAGGCAGCAGCTCTACCAGTTGCGCCACCGTGCTGCCCGGGACATTAACATTTTCACTAAATAGCATTTCTAAGTGTATGTAATTTTTTTTTAACCATACCCTGAGATGAACTGAATTAAACTAAAACTAGGCTAGCTCCTACATCTCACCAACATACATGCTCGCCAACAGTAATGTAGCAATTTACTCAGTGCAACAACACAAGTGATGGATGTGTGAGTGTAAAGGTAACCTTGTCTTTAATATGCATGTTTTTCAGTGCTCCCTGCACACACTCAACAAATGATGCCGATTAAAGAAACAGCTCTTGAAGAATGGAGGCCTGGTGTGGACCAGCTGGACTCAGAGACCCTCAACATAAAAGAGGAAGAGGAGGAATCTTGGACCAGTCAGGAGAGAGACCAACTCAATGTGAAGGGGGAGACTGAAGTCACCAGGTTTTCAGTCACTGCACTTAATTTGAAAAGTGAAGGTGATGATGAGAAGCCTCTGTTCTCACAGCATCATCAGCATCAAGTGGAGAACAGAGATTTTCCAACCAGCAGCTCAGCTGATCAGCTGGAAATAGCTGATGCAGAGGATTGTGGAGAGGCAGAAACCACCAGAAACTCAGATCTAAATACGCACATGGATGATTCCAGCTCATCAGAGACTGAACTCAGTGAGGATTATGAAGATGACGAGGATGTAAACTATCCTGACTCTCAGCTTAAGGACTTGTTTGACTCTGGTCCTAAAACTGAAGACAGTAACAAAGAGTGGGAGGGCAGCAGGTCTCCTGAGTCAGGTGTAAACACTGAGTGTGGTAAGCAGTATGTCAACAACCAGTCTCTTCAGAAGCACATGACATGTCATCCAGGGATAAAGTCTTCAAGCTGTGTGGTTAAAAAGAGAAATGTTAGAGTGAAGAACAATGGAGAGTCGCACAAGAAAATACAGACCAAACCAAAGGCGTTTAAATGTCATGACTGTGATAAAAGGTTTAACAGCAAAAACGATCTAAACAGACACATGAGAGTCCACACAGGAGACAAACCATTTTTTTGTGATCTCTGTGAAAAAAGTTTTAGCCAAATGTCACATTTAAACATGCACATGAGAATCCACACAGGAGACAAACCATTTTCTTGTGATGTTTGTGGACAAAGATTTAGCCGTAGTGGCAATTTAAATTCCCACATAAGAGTCCACACAGGCGACAAACCTTTTTCTTGTAATGCTTGTGGGCAAAGATTTAGACAAACTTCTAATCTAAACTCGCACATGAGAACCCACACAAGGGACAAATCATTTACTTGTGATGTTTGTGGACAAAGATTTAACCATAAGTCAACTTTAAACTCCCACCTGAAAATCCACACAGGAGATAAACCTTTTTTTTGTGATGTTTGTGGACAAAGATTTGGCCGCAGTGACAGTTTAAACTCCCACATGAGAGTCCACACTGGTGACAAACCATTTCGTTGTGATGTTTGTGGACAGAGATTTAGCCGTAGTAGTAATTTAAACTCCCACATGAGAGTCCATACAGGTGAGAAACCATTTCCGTGTGATTTTTGTGGACAAAGATTTAGCCACAAGTCAACTTTAAAAGCACACCTGAGAGTCCACACAGGAGACAAACCTTTTTCTTGTGATATTTGTGGACAGAGATTTAGACAAAGGTCATCTTTAAATTCTCACCTGATAAGCCACAAAGACAAAGCATTTCCTTGTCATGTTTGTGCACAAAGATTTAGCCATAAGGATAATTTAAACAGGCATTTAAGAATCCACACAGACAAGAAAACATCTCCTAGAAACTCACATGACATCACACAGAACTGAATGTGCACAGTTCTGAGGTTTGTTCAACAATTTAGAGATTTGTGCTCAATTTTCACAGGAAATATCGACATATGCACTTTGTTATATGCACTTTGTTTGAAATATTGTGTATATTGCATCATTTTTATTTGTATTTGTATTTTTCTCTACAACCTTACCTTGCACTGGTAGTACAACCCCAGGCAAAAATCATAGAATTACTCTAGTTTTTAAGTAAATAAAAAAAAAAAACTGCATATATCAAAATAAATTTGATAACTAGTCCTTTTCTAAAAAGAGTGCACACCTTGGAGAGTTGTTCACAAAGCAGATTCACATGAATCATGGCTCCAACACCAAAATGTTCAGTTCAAACAAAGGATAGGATTATAAAACTTCTTCATGAAGGAAAATCAAGACAAAATGCTGCAAAAGACGTTTGTTGTTCCCAGTCGGCTGCGTCTCAAATCTGGACCAGGTACAAGCAAAAGGGGAAGGTTGTAAAAGGGAGGCACACTGGTAGACCAAGGAAGACATCAAAAGGTCAAGATGGAAAACCAAGCAATGTCTTGAAAACTGAAAATGCAACAAAACTAATGAGAAACAAGTGAACAAAATAGGAGTCACTGCCGGTGACCAATTGGTAAGAAATTGCCTAGAAGAAATGTGTGAAAATGTAAAAAAAAGAATGTGTGTGTGTGTGTGTGTGTGTGTATACAGTGGTGCTTGAAAGTTTGTGAACCCTTTACATTTTTCTATATTTCTACATAATTATGACTGAAAGCATCAACAGATTTTCACACAACTCCTAAAAGTAGATAAAGAGAACCCCGTTAAACAAATTATACAAAATATTACAGGTGCTGGTCATACAATTAGAATATCATGAAAAAGTTGATTTATTTCAGTAATTCCATTCAAAAAGTGAAACTTGTATATTATATTCATTCATTACACACAGACTGATAGACTTCAAATGCTTATTTCTTTTAATGTTGATGATTATAACTGACAACTAATGAAAACCCCAAATTCAACATCTCAGAAAATTTAAATATTACTTAAGACCAATAAAAAATTGATTTTTTTAGAAATGTTGGCCAAATGAAAAGTATGAACATGAAAAGTATGAGCGTGTACAGCACTCAATACTTCGTTGGGGCTCCTTTTGCCTGAATTACTACTGCAGCAATCTGGCATGGCATAGAGTCGATCAGTCTGTGTCTAGCTTTGGCACTGTGCAGGTGCCAAGTCCTGTTGGAAAATGAAATCTGCATCTCCTTAAATTTGGTCAGCAGCAGGAAGTATGAAGTGCTCTAAAACTTTCTGGTAGACAGCTGCGTTGACTTTGGACCTGAGAAAACAGTGGGCCAACACCAGCAGATGACACATGGCACCCCAAACCATCACTAACTGTAGAAAGTTGACACTGGACCTCAAGCAACGTGGATTCTGTGTCTCTCTTCCTGCAGACTCTGGGAGCTTGATTTTGAAAGGAAATGCAAAATTTACATTCATCAGTGAACGTAACTTTGAACCACTCAGCAGCAGTCCAGTCCTCTTTGTCTTTAGCCCAAGCGAGATGTTTCTGATGCTGTAGATGTTTCTGATGCTATCTCTTGTTCAAGAGTGTCTTGCCACAAGGAATGCGACAGCTGAAACCCATGTCTTGCATACATCTGTGCGTGGTGGTTCTTCAAGCACTGACTTCAGCTGCAGTCCGTTCTTTGTGAATCTCCTCCACATTTTGGGATGGGTTTTGTTTCACAATCCTCTCCAAGGTGCGGTTATCGCTATTACTTGTACATTTTTTTTTATCACATCTTTTCCTTCCCTTTGCCTCGCTAATGTGCTTGGACACAGAGCTCTGTGAACAGCCAGCCTCTGTAGCAATGACTTTTTGTGTCTTGCCCTTCTTGTGCAAGGTCTCAATGGTCGTCTTTTGGACAACTGTCAAGTCAGCAGTCTTCCCCATGATTGTGTAGCCTACAGAACTAGACGGAGAGACCATTTAAAGGCCTTTGCAAGTGTTTTGAGTTAATTAACTGATTAGAGTGTGGCACCAGGTGTCTTCATTATTGAACCTTTTCACAATATTCTAATTTTCTGAGATACTGAGTTTGGGGTTTTCATTAGTTGTCGGTTATAATCATCAACATTAAAAGAAATAAACATTTGAAATATATCAGTTTGTGTGTAATGAATGAATATAATATACGTTTCACTTTTTTAATGTAATTACTGAAATAAATCAACTTTTTCATTATATGTTATGACTAGCCCCTGTATACTTATTTGTTTATTGAGGGAAATTATCTAATACTACATATTTGTGAATGGCGAAAGTATGTGAACCTTTGCCCCCCCCCCCCCCCCACACACACACACACACACACACACACGCAGCAATAACTGCAACTAAACATTTCCAGTAACTGTTGATCAGTCCTGCACACTGGCTTGGATGAATTTTAGCCCATTCCTCCGTACTGAACAGCTTCAGCTCTGGGATGTTGGTGGGTTTCTTCACATTAACTGTTTGCTTCAGGTCCTTCCACAACATATGGATTGGATTAATTTCAGGACTTTGACTTGGCCATTCCAAAACATGAAATTTATTCTGCTTTAACTGTTCTTAGGTAGAACAACTTGTGTGCTTAGAGTCATTTTCTTGCTGCATGACTTACCTTCTTTTGAGATACAGTTCATGGACAGATGTTTATCTGATATCATTCAGAATTTATTGTTCCATCAATGATGGCAAGCCGTCCTGGCCCAGATGCAGCAAACGGACCCAAACCATGATAATACCACCACCATGTTTCAAATATGGTATAATATTTTTATGCAGGAATGCAGTTTCCTTTTGTCCAAACATAACACTTTTAATTTAAACCAAGAAGTTCTCTTTTTTGGTTTCATCTGGCCACAAAACGTTCTTTCAATAATCTTCTGGCTTATCCACATGATCTTTAGCAAACTGCAGATGAGCAGCAATGTTTGTTTTGGAGCACAATTACTTTCTTCTTGCAACCCTGCCATGCACACCATTGTTGTTCAGTGTTGTCCTAAAGGTGGACTCATGAACATTAACATTAGTCAATGTGAGAGAGGCCTTTAGTTGCTTAGAACTTACCCTGGGGTCCTTTGAGACCTCACCGACTATTACACACCTTGCTCTTGGAGTGATCTTTGATCACTCCTGGGGAGGGTAACAATGGTCTTGAATTTCTTCCATTTCTACACAATCTTTTTGATGAGCATCAACAACTTTTTCTGAGGTCCTCAGAAATCTCCTTTGTTCCTGCCATGATACACTTCCACAAACATGTTGTGAAGAGCAGACTTAGATCCATCCATCCATCGATTATCTTTTACCCGCTTCTTCCATTTTGGGTCACGGGGGTCGCCGATGCCCATGTCCAGCAATCACTGTGCGAGGGACGGGGGACACCCTGGACAGGTCGCAAGTCCATCACAGGGCCACATAGAGACAAACGAGACAAACAACCATTCACTCTCTCACTCACACCTAGGAACAATTCAGAGTTACCAATCAGCCTAACATGCATGTTTTTGGTCTGTGGGAGGAAACCAGAGAACCCGGAGAAAACCCACGCATGCACAGAGAGAACATGCAAACTCCACCCAGAAAGGCCTCGGGACCAGGATTTGAATCGGGGACCTGCTCGTTGAGAGGCAGCAACTCTACCAGTTGCGCCACCGTGCTGCCCTTTGATAGATCCCTGTTCTTTAAATCAAACGGGGTGCCCACTCACCTGATCATCATCACATTGATTGAAAAAACCTGACTCACCTTCAAATTAACTGCTAGTCCTAGAGATTCACATACTTTTGCCACTCACAAATATGTAATACTGGACCATTTTCCTCAATAAATAAATGACCAAGTATAATATTTTTGTCTCATTTGTTTAACTGGGTTTTCTTTATCTACTTTTAGGACTTTTGTGAAAATCTAATGATGTTTTAGGAAATATGTATGCAGAAATATAAAAAAATTGTAAAAGGTTCACAAACTTTCAAGCACCACTGTGTGTGTTACATGTTTATGTGTATATGTTTGAATATGTGTTTTCATAATATGCATATATATATATATATATATATATATATATATATATATATATATATATTCAATTCAGTTTATTTATATAGCGCCAAATCACAACAAAGTTGTCTCAGGGCACTTTACAGGAACATTCACATACATAAAAGCCAATTAGTAAAGTTTTCTATCTAAGGAATTCAGCAGACAAGTTGAATCTTGGCTTCGTTGCAGTCTCCCATCCTGAGCAAGCACAGTGGCAACAGTGGAAAGGAAACACTCCCTTTTAAAAGGAAGAAACCATCAGAACCAGGCTCAGGACAAGCGGCCATCTGCTTTGACCGGCTGGTTGAAGACAGGAAGGAGAGACAAACGAACATAGAATATATATATATATATATATATATATATATATATATATATATATATACACAGTAGTCCCTCAATTATTGCGGGGGATTCCTACCCTGAAGCCTCACGATAAGTGAAAAACCAAGAAGTAGGAATAGTAGTAAAAGTACTAAGTAGTAGTTTATATATACATATTATATATATGCATGGGTGTGTGTCTCTACCAGGCAGGTTCTAACATGTTCAGCATTTTTTTTTTAATTTACCCTTATACAAAAGTGCACAACTATACGTAACAGATTACACCATGTCAATCCATTATCTTTTACTCGCTTTTTCCATTTTGGGTCACGGGTTGCCGGTGCCCATGTCCAGCAATCACTGTGCGAGGGGCGGGGTTACACCCTGGACGGGTCGCAAGTACAGCACAGTACCACATAGAGACAAACGAGACAAACTAAAATAATTTATTTAAAATAAAAATTCCATGCTGATTGTGCAGCTTATCTTTCAATCAGACAATTGTGTGTCATGTCCAATCTTACTTTTGATACTGTGTGTATATATATATATATATATATACACACACACACACACGATCTTCTCAACATGTTCAGATTTTTTTTTCATTTACCCTTTATTTATACAAAAGTGCACAATGATACCCAACAGTTTACACCATGTCATATTTTAATAAACAAATGTATGTATGTTTCTTGAAGTGACAAAAGTTGGCTAGATGGACCGATAAATGGATAAATAAATGGACAGACAGTAGCATTGATGTATGGACATACAAATAGTAAAGCAAATTAAATCTACAGATTACATTACCCTTATACTGTTTTGGTAGTATGTTCATGTATTTTTGTGTTTTAATGTTTATGTTTAAATAATTTATCCTGTTTTTCAATGTTAAATTCCTCTTTAATAAACAGATTAAACTTTTCACTGCTTCCTCCTATTTTTACATTATGACTAATCTGGTTAAATATAAGTCAAATTATCCTAATGCAATATTTTTGTAAAAGTATTTTAATTTATCTAATATACAATCGAAACATTAAAAGTTGGAAAGTTTCTGATTTTTAAAAAATGTGAAGAATAAAACTGTCGTGGCATGGTGGAACAGTTGGTAGAGCTGTTGCCTTTCAACGAGAAAGTCATCGGTTCAAATCCTGGCCAGGAGTCCTTCTGGGTGGAGTTTGCATGTTCTTTCTGTGCATGCGTGTGTTTTCTCTGGGTACTCGGGTTTCCTCCCACAGTCCAAAAACATGCATGTTAGGCTGACTGGTAATTGTTCCTTGGTGTGAGTGAGAGAATGAATGGTTGTTTGTCTCTTTTTTTGTGTGTGTGTCCCTGTGATGGACTAGAGACCTGTCCAGAATGTGTCCCCCGCCTCTCACACAGTGTCTGCTGGATATGGGTACCAGTTACCCCCGTGACACGAAAAGGAAGAAGCAGGTAAAGATAATGGATGAATGGAATGAAATCTGTATGTGTTGAAATCGTAAAAAAAAGGCTTCAATAGAAATGTTTTTTGAGCTCTTATTTGCGTACTTCCGGTCCTTTAAGATTACTTCCTGTGCAACAGTCTCAAACTGAGCGTGCGCGGTGTGTTATGGAACCGTGTTGTTTGGAAAACGGGTGACAGTGTAACATAGAGGTCGTCTTCAACCCCAACGATCAGCTGTAAATTCTGGGTTTGTAATTTTCATTCTTCCTGTCCAGTGTGCGGATGTTAGCTACAGTTTTCGTGCAGCCGATGGGTTTAGCTTCCCAACCAGAACTCGTGTCTGTTTCTGTTTGTAGCTTAGCATGCTAACAAACTGATGAAAGTGAGTGGCTTTTTCAACGTTTAATGTTTCTACTTTACATTTTCAAACAACCTAAAACGCAAATTAGCACACGTGCGTCTAAGATGCAGACTTAAACTTTAAAGTTTTTATTTCACACATGCAGTTCGTTACCTATCCTGTAACATTTAGCAGTTGTAACAACAAAGTCCATGCTCAATAATCCAGGTATAAAATCCAACATTTTTCAGTCAGGTCATCTGGACAGTTTCTTTTTTTGTGCTGAAACGTTTCGCCTTCGATCCAGAAGGCTTCATCAGTCAAGGAAACACACAACAAAACTGATTCTTCCCCCAACAGCTTAATCCAAAGTGGAACAAACCAGTTCTGCTTGTGATAAGATGGTCTCTTTGGTACGCCCCTCCTCCATTGCCGGCCCTCTTTCTTGTTGACAGTCTTGTCAAACTGGTTGAAAACAGCAAAGTCCATGCTCAATAATCCAGGTATAAAATCCAGCATTGTTTTCAACCAATGGCTGAGAGTGTTAACTCTGCCCATGAATCATATATATATCTGTGCAACCTGTCCTGAAAATCTGACCTTACAAGTAAAATACCATTTAAAAAATCTTCTGCTGTCAAGTGTGGGTCCTTTTGAGTAAGTAAGATAAAGTGAGAATATTTTTCTCCAACAGTTAGTTTCGTCATCCTTCTAATCATATGTTAATCTTGTGTTGTTATCTTCTTTTTTAACCAACCAGCAAACAGTCAGTTCAACTCCATCAGTGTAAGTCAACTTGCAAAACCTTAAACCAGCATCACCTTAAGTCTAAATAAATTAACTTTTTTTTTAATTTTCTTCACCTCTACAATTAAATCAAATGACTTGTTCTCATTTGTGCAAGAGTTCCATTTAGGTTACCTAATTAGAAGCACTTTTGACTGGATGGCTGAAATCCTGTAAATTTTGAAGAAAAAAAAACTGAAGTATTGTATAAAATTAAATAATAGAAAGCAAATAACTCATAAAAGAAAATGCTTCATGAAACTGAGAAACCATTTAAGGAATCATTAATGAAAAAAAAAATTTTTTTCATTATCTCTGTTAAATAAAACCAAACTGTTACAATCAAACCTGTTTACACTCGGGTGTCTGAATGTAAACAAGATATTGAAAGGTAACATTTACTTGAGTATTATTTTCAAAGATGTCTTAATCCAAGCTCAAATTGTTTTGAAATTAAAATGAAACAAAATTCTTACAGGTTATTTAAAATTGACAATCTGCATGTTTTAGACAATTTAAATTATTACTGGTCTATTACCTTTGACTTTCCTCCTCCCTCTGTCTCCTGACACGTTTCCCTCCTCGTGGTGTTCGACTAACAGTAGCACATCCAACAATTTTCAGTCAGATCATCTGGACAGTTTCTTTTGTGTGTGTGTGTGTGTGTGTGTGTGTGTGTGTGTGTGTGTGTGTGTGTGTGTGTGTGTGTGTGTGTGTGTGTGTGTGTGTGTGTGTGTGTGTGTGTGTGTGTGTGTGTGTGTGTGTGTGTGTGCTAAAACGTTTCACCTTCCATCCAGAAGGCTTCATCAGTTAAGGAAACACACAACTCAAAACTTGTTCTTCCCACAAAAGCTTACTCCATAGTGGAACAAACCAGTTATGTTGGTGCTAAGATGGTCTTTTTGGCACGCCCCCTCCTCTGGTGCTGGCCCTCTCCCTCGTCAACAGTTTGACATGACTGTCGACGAGGTTTAATGGTAAAATCAGCTGCATTTCAAATGTATTAGATGTCTCTGTGCTCTGGGAGCACGCAGAGGGAGGAAATCAGGAAGGTGGAACACTGCACATTTCTTCAAATTTTAAAACGACAAGCACCTAAAATAATTATTTGTTTGCTCGACATTATAGCAAAGATGTGTCTCAGTTGAACTTGTACTTAATAAATGCACTTCAATGGTCAAATTAGCTGCATTTCGCTGAGGCGGCACAGCGAAATGAAGCTGATTTGACGGTTGCTACAGGCACAGTCCCGGAGCTGGACGAAGGTGGCAGGCTATGGCATGCCGATTGTGTCATTAATAGCCACTTTTACCTTTTATGACAATATGACACAACGGCATGCCATACTACTTGAGTGCCATCTAACAGTTGAAAATGGTAGTGTTCAATATTTTCAGTGTCAGAATGAATGAAAACGGTCATAGCTCATCCAAAAAATGATTTATAAATATGGGAAAAAAACATAAATAAGTTGCTTTGGTGTATAAGTTGCAGGGCATGTAAATTATGCAACAAACTGCAACTTATAGGCCGGCAAATACAGTAACTATTGAAGAAACCTGTGTCTACCTTCTTAATAACAGGTGGCAGGTGGCAATTTTGCCACGTACTCAAGTGTCTGGCGCCATCTATTCTGACAGACGATTTTTTTCTTCTCCTTTGGAGTTAGTCGACACACCGGTGCGTGATAATCACATGACCAATTTCAGTTGCTCTAGCGAGAAAGATACAGCCTCTCAGAGACTCCATTTTTTGTATCAAAAATACAGACTTCAAGCTACACAACAGTTTTTTAAATTATGTTTATAGGCCAAGTAAAACAAGAGTTAAGAAAAATAATCCACGCCACATGTTTTTCTGAAAACCATTGTCATATCTGAAGCGCGTTAAAGCAAGAGGCTGCGGCAAAAACGGGCATTCTCATGGAAAAAAAACACCCTCATCACCCTCCGCTTTTACCTTTTTTCTTTTTTGAGCTGCATGCATAGCTTTGTCACAGCATACCCCAGACCGTGAGCGAGCATCCATTACTGCTTTGGTCATAAGATGATACCAACGGATTCATGTTCTGATGGTAGATCACATTAGCTTTTTGCATGCTAGTAGCTAATGTGCTACTTTTCAAATACTCAGAATCCTCTGCGAGACACATTTTTGACCCGTGAAGCCCACAGTGTATTATCCAAACCCATCTGGAATAGTTGCAGACCTTCAAGCACAAATCGACTGCCAAGTTAGAAAAACTTGTAAACAGAATTCACAATGACATTTAAAGAGATGTGGGTTGTTTTAAATTAAAAACGGTGGTTTCTAAGAACTACTACTTATCAGACTCGTTTGATTCCATACAGCATGGGACGTCTCCATTAGGTGCCTGACGTGAAAAGAAGTCACAAAATAAACATTGGACAGAGGTTTTTTTTATTTCTGTAGTCTGCTCACACAGACTATGGCCTACTTTTGCACACCTCACCAACCAATGTTGTTTCTTGATGCTGAACTTGGATCCATGTAAGTTACCTGAACTTTCTACCAGTCCCAGGCTGTTCCTTTGAACACAATATCAGTATTGGTAAGTCCTCACGTGAATTTTTCTTTGAGATCCCAGACCTGCCAGAAATAATATTGAGATCTCTCTAAGCCCCTTAATGGCCTACCAGTATTATAAGTCCCATTGTGGCCTACCTGTTAGGCCTGTCACAATAACAAATTTTGCTGGGCAATTAATTCTCAGAAATTATTGTGAACGATAATATTGTTTAAAATCAGAATCAGAATAAGCTTTACTATCATTGCACCAAGATACAACGAGAACATGTACATGCAGTCTTCCGGAAGATGGACGGAGTGCATGAAGCTGCAACTATAGAAAGTGCGGCCTTCTTATCCTTATCAGATAATAATCTGATAAGGATAAGAAGATAATAATAAATGTGACAATAATTAGTAATTGTTGTCAAATTTAAAAATAAATTTTGGTTAATTTGTTTAGAGTGTAGTACCTTTTTTGACTACCATATGGCAATATAAGACTGTTTGAACCGAAGGATGGATAGTGAGAGAGCGAGCAGCCTATCTCTTAAGAAAAAGGGGAGGGAGGCCCCTTGACATGACATGGGCTTCCTTTTTGGGGGGTTCTCAAAATTGCGGACGCTCTGTGTGGTTTAAGCTCTTTATCATAGCATTTTTCACACAAAGCTTTTAATAAAAAATCAGTAAAGTTCTCAGCTTCTTTATGCAGAGAAAAACAACTTTTTACACGAAGGCACAGGTTTCAATCGTGAATTTTGGAGCTTCGACAAGACGGAGGTTTTTTTCCCCGAGGTTGGCCTGCTAGTTTAGCTCGTAGTTCAGCTTCTCAGCTTAGCTGCTTTTAACAATCCAAAAATGTGATTTTGGACAGTTAAAACAGATTTCAAAAAGAAAAGAGAAAGGAAGGGGTCAGTGAAGAGCACCGGAGTTGAGCCTTGTCATTCAATGTCTTCAGTAGAAAGAGAGAGACACGAAGGAATGATAAAGCCGATAAATGAAAATGAGGTTGATAATTTTCATTTATCATGCTATTAATTGATTTATTGTTTATTGCAACAGGCCTACTACCTGTATTATAAGCCCCTTTGTGGTCAATCTCTACAGCAAGTCACTTTGTGACTTCTCTGCAGCAAGTTCTTTCATGACTGCTCACTATTGAAAGTCCCTTTGTGATTTCAATACACCAATAACTTGGATATTTTGAGTAAAAGCAGCACCTCATGGTCAGTACGTGGCTCGTCTGGTGGATATCCGTCATATCCCCTGTCTCACCAGCAGATTTGGCCTCACTACAATCAGCAGTTCATGCAGAGGACTTTTGATTCATGAGTTTGATTCCTCCTTGCATGGATTCAGGTCTAAGCCTGGTGTTCTGAGGTCAGATGTTGGTTGCCGACTGTCAAAGGACCAAAATGTTGGAGAAAAATATTCTCATTTACGTTATTTACTCAAAAATCACTGCATTCAATGGCAGGAGAATTTTTTTAACTGGGATTTTACTTGCAGGGTCAGATTTTCAGGACAGGTTACATAAGTATACATACAATGTACACACGAGACCACCAAGCTATACGCATCATATCCCCTCCACTTGTTTTTATATCCTTATCAGTTCAGCAGAGTTCACAGGGCGTAGGAGGTGTTCTTGTCTGCAGCTGCAGCCTCACCCAGCTCCTCCATTAACATAAACATAGTTCATGGACAAAGAAGATTCTCAGCCATAGTAATAAAAACATTCATAACTTTTGACCAAAAATTCTCTGACAATTCCTCTTCATCATACAAGTGATGTATGTGTGGGTGTAAAGGTAATGTTGTCCTTAATGTACATGTGTTTCAGTGGTCCCTGCACAAGATCAACAGATGGTGCTGATAAAAGAAGAAGCTCCTGAAGAATGGAGGCCTGGTGTGGACCAGCTGGACCCAGAGCCTCTCAACATAAAAGAGGAAGACCAGGAGCCTTGGACCAGATACCAACACACTGTAAATGAGGAAAGTAACGTCACACATTATTCATGCATTGTAGTTCCTTTGAAAAATGAAGATTATGAAGAGAAGCCTCTGTTCTCACAGCTTCATCAACACCAAGTGGAGAACAGAGATTTTCCAACCAGCAGCTCAGCTGATCAGATGGAAGTAGCAGCTGATGCAGAGGACTGTAAAGGGGCAGAAACTACCAGAAACTCAGATCTAAATACTCACATAGATGATTCCAGCTCTTCAGAGACTGAACTCAGTGAGGATTATGAAGATGATGAGGATGTATACTATCCTGACTCTCAGCTGAAAGACTTGTCAGGCTTTGGTCCTAAAACTGAAGACAGTAACAAAGAGTGGGAGGACAGCAGGGCTCCTGAGTCAGGTGTAAACACTGTCAACAAATCTCTGAAATGCTCTGAGTGTGGTAAGCATTATGCCAACAACTGGTCTCTTCAGAGACACATGACATGTCATCCACGACTAAAGTCTTCTACCTGTTCAGTTAAAAAGAGAAGTGTTGGAGTGAAGAAAAATGGAGAGTCACACAGGAAAGTCCAGACAAAATCAAAAGCATTTAGATGTCATGACTGTGATAAAAAATTTACCAGCAAAAATGATCTAAACAGACACATGAGAGTCCACTCAGGAGACAAACCATTTTTTTGTGATCTTTGTGAAAAAGGTTTTAGCCAAATGTCACATTTAAACACGCACATGAGAATTCACACTGGGGACAAACCTTTTCCTTGTGATGTTTGTGGACAAAAATTTACTCATAAATCAACTTTAATCTTCCACCTGAAACTCCACACTGGAGACAAACCTTTTTCTTGTGATGTTTGTGGACAAAGATTTAGACAAACTTCTAATCTGAACTCGCACATGAGAACCCACACAAGGGACAAATCGTTTACTTGTGACATTTGTGGACAAAGATTTACCCATAAGTCAACTTTAAACTCCCACCTAAAAATCCACACAGGGGACAAACCTTTTTCTTGTGATGTTTGTGCACAACAATTTGGCCGTAGTGACAGTTTAAACTCCCACATGAGAGTCCACACTGGTGACAAACCATTTCCTTGTGATGTTTGTGGACAAAGATTTAGCCGTAGTAGTAATTTAAACTCCCACACGAGAGTCCATACAGGTGAGAAACCATTTCCGTGTGATTTTTGTAGACAAAGATTTAGCCACAAGTCAACTTTAAAAGCACACATGAGAGTCCACACAGGAGACAAACCTTTTTCTTGTGATATTTGTGGACAAAGATTTAGACAAAGGTCATCTTTAAATTCTCACCTGATAAGCCACAGAGATAAACCATTTCCTTGTCATGTTTGTGGACAAAGATTTAGCCATATGTCAAAATTATATGCCCATATGAGATTCCACACAGTTGACAAACCATTTCCATGTCATGTTTGTGGACAAAGCTTTAGCCGCAAGGATAATTTAAACAGACACTTTAGAATCCACACCAACGAGAAAACATCTCCAAAAAACTCACCTGCTGTCACACAGAACTGAAGGTGCACAGTTCCAAGGTTTGTTCAACAGTTCGTTTAGAAATTTGTGTTCAATTTTAACAGGAAATATCCACATCTGTACTGTGTGTTTGAAATATTGTGTATATTGTATGATTTTGGCTTATATTTGTACGTATTTTCTCGGTACAAAATTACCTTGCACCAGTAGTACAACCCTTGGCAAAAATCCTGGAATCACTGTTTTTGAAGTTCTAAAATAAGCTCATGCATCAAATTAATTGTAATTAGTCCTTTGCTAAAAAGAGTGCCCACATCTTGTAAAGTTGTTCACAAAGCAGATTCACGTCATCCAGGTACCAAATCCAATAATTCCAAGTCGGGTCATCTGAGCAGTTTCTTTTTTATAGAGATGTTTCGCCCTCTATCTGGAGGTCTTCATCAGTCAGAATAGTCTAACTGATGCAGCCTTCCAGATAGAGGGCGAAATGTCTCTATAAAAAAAGAAACTGTCCAGCCGACCCGACTGAGAATTATTAGAGGTCCTTGACACATTAATGAACCAAATACATTTCCTGGTTCATTAAGAATTGGCATTTAAACAGTCCTCATCTTGAAACCAAAATGACGCCTAGCAATTGATCAAAAATACCTCGCCACGGGCAGCACAGTGGCTCAGTTAGTAGAGCTGCCACCTCTTGGCGAGAAAGGTTGCCAGATCATTTCCTGGCCGGGAACCTTTCAGGGTTGAGTTTGCATGTTCTCTCAGTGCATGTGTGGGTTTTTCCCCGGTACTCCGTTTTCCTCCCACAGGCCAAAAACATGCATGTTAGGTTGATGGGTAACTCAAAATTGTCCATGGGCATGAGAGAGAGTGAATGTTTGTTCCTCTTTTATCTCTATATGACCCTGTGATGGACGTTCTACCTGTCCAGGGTGTACCCCACCTCTCTCACACACAGTGACACCACGATCAAGAAAGGAAGAAGTGGGTAAAGATAAGGGATGATGGATTGATACCTTGCCATTGCGAGGCTTCAAACAGGATGTTCTCAGATGGAACTGGCCACCGAGCTTCGAATGTCACACTGTCATCAGCACGTTGCAACAGAGAGAGTGGGAGTCACAAAGGCAGAAGTGGATGTCCTTTGGCCACATACCACATACATGATTGCTTCATAGCGAACAGTGCCCTGCGAAACTGGATGAGGAATGCCCCTCAACTACAGGCACCCAAGTGTCATTCAATTCTTCATTCTACCTTTTTCATACAGGTTAGTCACATAAATAAAGGTTGAATGAATGAATGACACTTGGGTGTGTCTCATCTCCCTTAAATATGCCTGGAGTTGAGTTTGAGCTTTGAGTGTAAACACCATCTTCTTGTTACGGTTACGCTACATAACAAATATCCAAAGTAATCGAAAGTAATCATACGAAAAAAGCCATTTACATACAGAAAAAAAGAGGAAATAAAGTTTTCAAAAGCAATATCAATATCAGAATGAAAGTAATAGCTACTCCGACATGCAGCCACCTTGAGCGGCGCAATTCTAGAACTATTATCTAACTAAAGAACTAAAACTAAATTTAGAAAAGCTAAATTATCCTTTCTTGTTCATGTTGTTCAATTTGTTTATTATTGTTGATGACTCTTAGGGTGATTTTTTTTTATAAAACTTCACAGAAAAATTTGGTGTTCTTGTTTGGATGAATATTCATGTTATGGTATAGAATTTCCTGTAGTTAAACGATTCTACTTCAGAGACTGAGTTTTGATTTGTAAAGGATGAATACATTAATTAAGTCATTGCTGGTCAGTAAACTGACCGGATGGTGCTCTGCTTTAACAGTGAAAAACAAGTAAATGTATTAAAGTGAGGAGTAAGTGTCACCCTTCTTCCTCCATCCACTCATAGTCTGTGCAACCATCTGGTCACATTGTTAATTCAGTTCACTACAGAGTGAAGATCATTAATACAGCTATTTTGCATTTTGTAAAAAATAATAATAAATTTTCATGTTTTGAAATCAATACGAGAGAAACATCACACTAATGTGTTTCGTTCAACGTTAACCCAAGTTTTGCAAGATGATTGTAAAGAGTGATATGATTTCTAAAGAGGTAGTAAAAATACAGAATAAACTGGTCTTTAAGGCCATTACACACAACTTTTTTAAGAGCTTTGTGTTTCAGAGTGAGGGAAACTGCATATTGTGAGCGTTGGAAGGGGTAAACCAGCCGGGTACTCATGTCCCTGAAGAAAAACCGTGCTGGATCATTTACCAGTATCTGCAAGTAGATTTAAGGATTTATCAATGAAGACTTTGAACAAAAGTAACAATTACTAGAACTGGCTCATATTTTTCACATGGAAGGAACTTGTCATTTTTAATTTAGGAAGTTTATCAAACTCTGCTCACATCCATCAGAATTATTCTGTATTTTGTTAAAGCTATTTTACCTGATGTCAATTTTATTATCTCTGTGCAAACTTTTGTGGCTATGTGCGTGTTGCATGATGATTTAGCAAACTTGCTACCGTGTAGCTGATAAAACAACGGTTTAACAGGACATTAAGAAGAAATGATTGGACAACAGGATAAGAGAAATGACTTGTTGGTCAGAGAACGTACAGTTTCTTTCCGTTGGTCATTCAAAGATCGCAAATGTAGCTAGCCATGTCCCACAAAGATGTGAGCTTTCAGAAATGAAGCAAGCATCGTGGAACCAAATGAAGCATGTTATAATTTAGCTCTGTTGATTGAAGCACAATACAATAAATGTGTAATGTACTTCTCCCTCATCTAATTTTTTTTACTTTATGCCTTATCTTAGTTGAGCAATTTTTTTTCGTAGTCAACTATTTTTTAAACTAAATACAAAGAGGCTGTCACCATTCTTCCCTCTGTAATAAATCTGTTTGTTGTTCAATCCAGCGACAAGGTGGTCTTACAAACCAGACGTCACCTCATAGAGCCGCAGCACCGTGCTACATTTTCACATTTATCCTTAAGCTGTGTTGCATGTCCTGGTCTGAGGTGTCTTGTAAAAGAGCCTATTGTTCACTACTGCATTAGTTTATAGTGATGAATCAACTAATACTGTGATTAAAATAGGTTTTAAAATGCTGAGATATATAATATATATTTAATTAAAGTTCCTAAATAATGTAATGTTCATTTTTTTGTCATTTCACCCAGCCCTATTTTGAATGTTGTGTGTTGTTACACACCTAAAGGTGAAAAAATGGATTCTGTGCAAAGAATAATTTTTTTTATGTGTGTCAAAAGAATGCTGATAATTTGTGTTGTTTTTTCTAAAAAATAAAATTAAAGATTGTCACATGATTTAACACACTATAATTTTTTGTCATCACCTGAGGCATATCCAGTGATCCTGCTAACAGAATGTCTTTTGAACAGGAAAAAATAAGCTCCGTCTGTGCAAATGCTCTACTTCCTGACCTTCTCTGTCCACTGGTGATCTGATGTCTGGTCACTTTTTTAATAAACGAGCACAAAGAGCACAAATCGGCCCTTTATTTAGTCATTGTTGTTGCATGTTTGTTTTCCATCCTGGTATCTCTCCCAGTCTCCTCTTTTCATATTTTGTTTGTATTTTAATTAAAAGTACATTTTGTTTAGATTTATTTTGTAAAATCCAAGAGTAGATACTCCAAGAAAAGCCAAAGTAAACAAGAACCATTTGTAACTTTGAAAAATAAGTCTAGGTAAAGAATCGCTCATAGATGCCACAACACTCCAACTCCTGACTCCATCAGCTGAAAGCTTCAGAGTCAACTTTACCCCCTGGATGACACTTTGGACAACTTGTTGATTTCAACTGATCATCATTCCACGGGCCTCATCAGGAACACTCAACCTGCACTTCCTCGTTTCCAGGAAATGCTTATCCCAAACCAGATATACCACAGTAAGCCACCAAGTCTTCCCTCCTGATGAGGAGAAAACTTCTGCGAAGGAGGAGTCTAGACCCTATAAATCATAGATATCATATAATCATGGATTATTAATTATTATTATTATTAGCTGGTAATCAAGGATTGGTGATTATATGATATCTATGTGAGTAATGACACGGGACATCCGGGCTCTTCCGGGTTTGTGATTGCATCACAGAACGGAGAGACCAGCGCTGTAAACTGTAACTTTTTCCTGCCTTGATTTTAATACAATTGATAAAACTTAAATGACGTTTCCTTGATTTATTGATATTGTGGGTTCCCACTTCTGAGGGAGATTCGGGAGAGGTGGACTGGAGGGGGTTTCCGGGTCCAGAGGCCCGCAGCCATTTTCCATCCTAACAATGTGCACATCATCTCTGGAAGAGTGACCACTGGCCTTCAGATGAGAGTAAAGAAATCTAATTTCTAATCTTAGTATCCAAAAATATATAACGGATTCCACCATGTTACCATGTGTTAAATAAAAATGTAGCTCACCTTTGCTGCTTCTGTAGGATTTAAGAGGGAAAGTAGCTGCCATGTGAATATACACCAAGCTGCTTGTAGAAAATATTAGTTCATATTTATACAATTGTCACCTGTTAATGTTGAACAGTCCCTGTTAGGTGTTGCAATAGAGCAGCACAAACTACAAAACAATAGTGAAAAATCATTTTGAGATCCTAAAATTGCTCATGCTTTAATGAAAATCTGTCTCTGTGCTCCCAGACTACATATTACTGTACGGAGCATATAATGCAGCATGGTAACAAATTTTTCATTTACATCTTTACTTATTATTTAAAAAAATAAAGGTGATAAAGAAAACAATCTCAAGAGCAGTAAAATATTAAAAATACAAATGTAGAGGTGATTAAAACATAAACCACTGACACATGCCAAATTTCAGCTTGAGAACTTTTGCTGAATTATTATTGTTATTATTATATTAATTTACCCTTTATTTATACAGGTATGAATTATAGCTGCTTTTGTTTTCTAAGGTTAGTTGACTCTGGTGGCCGGCTTGAATTAGATTGGCCCCCAAATTGAATCAACTGTAGATTTTCATGTATGTAGAATTAGAATAGATGAAATAATTACTTTGAGATTTTCATTAAACTCTGTCCAATGGTTCACAATATATTTTGCTAACAGACGCACAAACATACAGAGTTCAAAGAGGAATCAAAAGCAGATAGAATGGGAGGTATTTGCCCTGAAAACTTTCCAGCACCTTCCATTGACCTGAAACAACACAAATTCCACTGATCTTTTTTTTTTTCCTGTCTGTCAACATGCATGGGTTGACGTATGCACATATACAATACGGCATCGACGAGGGCAGCTTAGCGTTCTCGTCCGTTGCCAGGACCCCTCAGCTTCAGCAGCTAAGCTAACTGTAACAAACGACGCTACCGGATAAAGCCGGTGTCCAGTTAACACTGTCACATGTTAAACCAGAACACCGGACAATCTGCGGTAGCTGGACACGGTTAGCATGCTAACTGATGAAAGTAAGTGGCTTTTTAAACGTTTAATGTTTCTGCTTTTTAAAAGCAGACAGCTGAAACCTGAATGGGCGTGTTTGAAACGTCCTGTCACTCATGGATAAGGAACAGTGCGGTGTTTACATTTACTGAACACTATTTGTGTCATAATTAGGTATCCCGGTCTGTTAGTACAACCGATCTTGTAATCCTGAGGGTGTGGGTTCAAGTCCAGGTTGCGTCAGGACAGGCATCCGGCGTAAGACAATTGTCATATCTGCTACGTCAGCTGTCAAGATAGTTTACTCTGCGGCGACCTCTGCAGAAGGGAGCAGCTGAAAGAAGAACATTTACGTCATAGTTAAGCGCCTGATAATAATAGGCGTCGCATAAACAAATGCCAATATTTGACAAACTTCTTCATTGTACCTATTTTCACAAGCACAGACTATAACTGTAAGACTTCTATAACATCCAGTATAGTAAACTGATGAAATAGTATCAACAAAACATCTCTGCAGAGTTGATGTTAAAGTAGTCTGTGTTAGAATATTAAAAACAAGTCATGTGTGGCACCCCTACAACAGTGTGACTGCATTTAGATTTAGTACTTACTTAAAGTGCTATTACAATATTTTGAGTTTTATGTATACATTAGTTTTATTTTAAAACAGAATTAGGGTAGAGATTTCCTTAATTTTGGGAAATCGGCCAATACTTGCACGAGAAGCCGATTTTACAATTTTTTTTAGTTTTAACAAGAATTGTCTTAACTTCATTTATATTTCAAAGCACTACCTCATGGCCAGGTAAAACAAGTTTGTATTGTTTCTAGGATATTGTTCAAGGGTATGTTTTTCAATAAAATAATATTGGAAAATAGAAGGTGCATTGTGGCCTTATAACACTGACAGTGTCGTTTATAAAACAAAATCGGAATCGGCCAAAATCGGAATCGGCAGGTCAGACTTTTTAGAAATCGGTGATCGGCCAGAAAACTGCAATTGGTGCACCCCGAATTATGGGTGTACTAGCTCAGTTTGAAGAGTTAATATGAAAAGTAGGCTGTGCTGTGGTTCAGAATGTTTGTTTTTTTCAATCACTAGTTTAAATAAATAAAAATAAGTATTTTAGGTTTATTTAGTTTTCTGATCTGTATGAAGCCGGTGAAAGAGGAGCAATGAGGACTCGTGGGTCCCTTCCATATTGTCTCTGAGAAAACGTGAAGGGAGCTGTCTGTTAATCAGGAACAACAAAACAAAAAGAATCACACACAATGGTTCCACCCATTACTACTAGCCACTGGTAGGATTTGTTGAAATCATTCACTTCCTCTTTCTTCCCCTCCCCCATCAGAAAAGTGCCCTCCCAAGGTCAAGTCATGTAGGGCAGTGGTTCCCAAACTTTGTTCAGATGTGTACCCCTTCTGACATCTGACCTCTAGCCAAGTACCCTTCCTTTATTACATTTGCATTTGTTCATTTATTACTTTGCATTTATTACAACCTGGATGGACTACTGTAACTCGCTTTATGCTGGGGTCAGTCAGGTCTCTCCCTCATGTCGTCAGCTCATCCAAATTGCTGCAGCTCGGCTACTAACAGGAACTCACAGGTTTGAGCACATTACTCCCTTCACTGGCTTCCTGTGCGTGTCAGAGTTGATTTTAAGATTCTTCTGCTGACATTTAAGTGCATTAATGGCCTTGCACCCTCATACCTCTCCGACCTTCTTCATCCTTATTCTCCTTCTCAGGCCTTGAGATCATCAGACCAGCTGCTTTTGGCCATACCTAAAACCAGCTGAAGCTCAGAGGAGATCGGGTGTTTTCAGTCATGGGCCCTAAACTCTGGAACAATCTGCCCATCAACATTCGACAGGCCACCTGGTTAATTTTTGGTCCAAAAAAGGCCAAAATAAAGACTTACAAAACGTTTATTTTGAAAATATGCCAAGTAAACAATATGTTTGAAAAAAAAAAAGCGACCCATTTGGACTGTGCACAGTCCGATCCAGAAATCTGGCAATGGCTTCTGATGTTTTCGCAGCCCAGAAAAGAAGTTGAGCAAAGGGCTACATTGATTAAAATGTGTTCCTTCAGCGAGTCACACTTCTACTTTGTCAGTGCATTTTTCTGAACACTAGATGGCAGCATTTACACGTGCATTACTGTATTTTTTGCTGTATAAGTACAGTTTCTTGCATAATTTGCATGCCCTGTGACATATACGCCGAAGCGTTGTATTTATGGATTTTTTTCTCCATATTTCTAAACCAATTTTTGGCAGAGATATGACCGTTTTCATTCATGCTGACCGAAAAAATGGAACACTACTATTTTCAGCTGCTAGATGGCACTCGAGTAGTAAGGCATGCCGTTGTATCATGTAATATGTAAAAGTGGCTATTAATGACACAATCAGCTTGCCATAGACTGCCACTGTCGTCTGCCTGCCACTGTCGTCTGCTTGAAGCAACCGAATCAGCTTCATTTCGCTCTGCCGCCCTGGCGAAATGCAGCTGATTAGACCGTAAAAATGCATTTATTAAGTAAAAGTTCAACTGAGACACACCTTTACTATAAAGTTGAGCTAACAAATAATTGTTTGTAGGTGGTTATCTTGTTAAATTTTGACAAAAATTGAGCGTACACCCCAGGGCATGTAAGTGCAAAGTTCAATTTTTACGACCACATACGTGTATGTATGCGGTGTCGCACAATAAACTGCCCAGCGATGGACTGTTTTGTATGCAACACCAATATATTAAATTCTCCTTCTTCATCCCTGATCTGGCCTTTTCTTTTGTTTTTTTGCCAAGAGGCAAGTGAGCTCTTCCTCCTCCGTTGACTCCATGACTGAAATGGTGAGAAATGAAGGAATTTGTCACGAGCGAATTAAACTCAGGTCCAGCATGGCTGCGGGAGGGTCTGGAGATTTCCTAGTGGGCTAGTTTGATGTGTGGGCAGCAGAGCCAGCGCTCCCTGTTTTATTTTTTTAGAACTTTTTATTAACAACATATAAACACAGAACACTGCTGCGGCTGAGGCTGCCAACAATCATTTTTTTTTGTTTCCCCAACCTGCCAATCAATCCACCTCGCTTCACAGCACAAAGACGCATCAGGAGTGGATTGGCTTTGATCCCCTTCACTGCCTCGGCCCATTCAGAAATCAAACTGAGGCAGCCAGAAGGCATCTCAGTGTGATGTGTTTTGTGAAGGAGTTTTATAGTAGTTTTATTAGTAACAGTATTTAGTCACTTAATAATATTCACACATATTCTGTGTTTGTCTGTGTCTCTTTTCTGTCCTTTATCTTCAATTGGTTTAGCTAGATTGTAGTCCATCCCAACCCTGGTTCTGCTGAAGGTCTCTTCCTTTTAAACTAAAGCAGTTCCTTTTCACTGTCACTAATGTGCTACTCAGGAAGGGAGATTGCAACCAAGTGAATATTTGACAGATTTTTTTATTTTTATTTTCTTAGTTAACCTTTGCCTACTAGCATTTTGTAATATACGTGAAAGCATTTTTTGTATCCCTTGTAATTTAATTTAATTGAAAAAAGGGCTAAGCCAGTTATATCACACCACCACTGTTGTGTCCTTAATAAAATCTCCAAAATCAGTGCAACAGTGAACCCAGTTTCCTTTATGCAACAACATAAGTATTGTATGTGTGAGTGTAAAAGTAATGTTGTCCTTAATGTACATGTGTTTCAGTGGTCCCTGCACATGTTCGACAAATGATGCTGATTAAAGAAGAAGCTCCTGAAGAATGGAGGCCTGGTGTGTCCCATTTGGACTCTCAACCTCTCAGCATAAAAGAGGAGGAAGAAAACCCAGAACCCCTCAGCATAAAAGAGGAGGAGCAGGAACCTTGGACCAGTCCAGAGGGAGACCAACTGAATGTGAAGGAGGAGACTGATGTCACCAAGTTTTCAATCACTACAGTTCATTTAAAAAGTGAAGATGATGAAGAGGAACCTTTATTATTACGGCTTCTTCAGTACCAAGTGGAGGACAGAGATCTTCCAAATTGCAGCTCAGCTGATCAGATGGAAGAAGGAGCTGATGCTGAGGAGTGTGGAGGAGCAGAAACTACCAGAAAAGACAATTCCAGCTCTTCAGAGACTGAGCTCAGTGATGAATATGAATATGGCAAGAATGTGAACAATCCTGATTCTCAGCTGAAGAACTTTTCAGATTCTGGAGCAAAAACTAAAGACCGTAACAAACCATGGAAGGAGAGCAAGGCTCCTGAGTCGGGTATAAATATTGTTTACAAATTTTTGAGTTGCTCTGAGTGTGGTAAGCAGTATGTCAACAACTGGTTTCTTCAGAGACACATGACATGCCATCCAGGGGTTAAGTCTTCAAGTTGTTCGATTAATAGGAAATGTGTTGGAGTGAAGAACAATGTAGAGTTACGCAGGAAGGTTCAGACAGAACCAAAATCATTTAAATGTGATCACTGCAATAAAATATTTACCAGCAAAAAAAATCTAAACACACACATGAGAGTTCACACAGGAGACAAACCATTTCCTTGTAAGGTTTGTGGACAAAGATTTAGCCAGAAGTCATCCTTAAATACTCACTTGAGAGTCCACACCGGAGAGAAACCGTTTCCTTGTGATGTTTGTGGACATAGATTTAGCCAAAAGGCATCTTTAAACTCGCACATTAGAATTCACACAGGAGAGAAACCATTTCCCTGTGATGTTTGTGGACAAAGATTTAACCAAAAGCACATTTTAATTTCTCACAGGAGAATCCACACAGGTGACAAACCATTTCCTTGTGAAGTTTGTGGGCACTGCTTTAGCCACAAGACGAGTTTAAATTCACACATGAGAATCCACACAGGAGACAAACCTTTTCCTTGTGATTTTTGTGGACAAAAATTTAGCTGTAGGGCTAGCTTAAATTCTCACAGAAGAATCCACACAGAAGACAACCTGTTTCCTTGTGATGTTTGTGGACAACGGTTCAGTCATAAGAGAAGTTTAAACTCCCACATGAGAATCCACACCGGAAGTAAACTGTTTCCTTGTGATGTTTGTGGACAAAAGTTTAGTCGTAAGGCAATTTTAATCTCACATTTACGAATCCACACAGGAGACAAACCTTTTCCTTGTGACATTTGTGGGCAAAGATTTAGGCAAAAGCAAAACATAAACTTACACATGAAAATCCACACAGGAGACAAACCATTTCTTTGTGATGTTTGTGGACAAAGATTTAGCCGAAAGTATCATTTAAATTTGCACATGAGAATCCACACAGGAGACAAAACAGTTTTGTTTTAATTTTTTTTTAATGGCTCCTAGAGACTTAACAAAATCAAACAGCACTTGAGGTACACAGTTGCAAAATTTGTTGTTGAATAGTTTAAGATAAGATATTCGTTTAAAAGTTCCTGAAGGGAAATTAACCTTGTTAATGGTTTCAACAGTAGAAGGTAGAGAACAGACAGCACATATAAACAAAATAAAGTGAAATACACGAAGAGATGAGCATTGATATCAACAAATGCATGTTGTACAAATATATAGCTATATATATAAAATGACTATACTTTTATTTACTTGCATACATATCCTATAGAAATAGAGCAGTATTACACATTTGATGTGAGAATTCTTATGGCAGGTAGTATAGCCGTTTGCTAACTAATCTTTACAGCAGTGCTGCTCTTTGATTGTGATATGTCTGTAGTAGCACCGTCTATCATTTACAAACACTACCTGTCCTCACTTTCTCTTACATCTGTCCCTTGTCCTGTCTGACAAGAGCAGGCTGAATTATTTCAGTGAAACAACAGTGTCTGGAGTCAGTGCGGTCAGCCATGTTTCTCGAAATGCCATGATGTTACAGGTCCAACGCACTATTAAAAACTGGAAGGATAGTGAGGACCCATCGTCTTCGAGGAAGAAATGTGGCCGGAAAAAAATCCTGAATGATCGTGAAAAACGTTTGGTGAAATCAAATCGAAGAAAAACAACAGTAGCACTCAGGGCTATGTTTAATAGTGAAAGGAAGAGCATTTCCACACACTCAATACAAAGGGAACTCAAAGGATTGGGACTCAACAACTGTAGCCTTAAGAAAACCACTGATCAGTGAAGCTAACGGGAAAAAAGGCTTCAGTTTGCTAGGGAGCATAAAGATTGGACTCTGGAGCAATGGAAGAATGTCATGTGGTCTGATGAGTCTAGATTTACCCTGTTCCAGGGTGCATCAGGGTAAGAAGAGAGGCAGGTGAAGTGATTCACCCATCATGCCTAGTGCCTACTCTACAAGCCTGTGGGGGCAGTGCTATGATCTGCGGTTGCTGCAGTTGGTCAAGTCTAGGTTCAGCAACAGTATGTGCTCAAAGAATGAGGGCAGCTGACTACCTGAATATACTGAATGAACATGATATATATATCAGGGAGGAGGTCCTGCCCCAAGTGGAGGAGTTCAAGTAGCTTGGGGTCTTGTTCACAAATGAGGGGAAAAAATGGAGCATGAGATCGATAGGCGGATAGGTGCAGCGTCTGCAGTGAAGCAGGCGCTGTACAGGTCTATCGTGGCTAAGAGAGAGCTGAGTCAAAAGGTGAAGCTCTCAATTTACCGATCGATCTACGTTCTTACCTCATCTATGGTCATGAGCTTTGGGTTGTGACCGAAAGAACGAGATCTCGGATACAAGTGGCCGAAATGAGTTTTCTCCGCAGGGTGTCTGGGCTCTCCCTTAGAGATAGGGTGAGAAGTATATATATATATATATATATATATTGGTGAAATGAAAACATTGTTTAAAACATTTACTCCTGACTGCGCCATGAGCTTTTAGTGTAGTCACATTTTGAAAGGAAATTTTTGAAAATTCAAACATTTGTTTTGATATAGCCTATTGTGTGTGTACAATAATAGTTTTCACTTCATTAACAGTTTCCCAATATCATCTCCAAGTATTTCTAATTGATCAATAGCCATAGAAATGTGCGTACACAAGCCATGAGTTGGTGTGGTGATGCACACATTTCCACAGTCATTTCATTCTTGATATATCTGAAGTTTTTATTGAAAAAGGGCATACACCACATTTTTATGCATACTCGCCCTTTCTACATGAGGCCCTAGGTCACTGTTCCTAGACAATAGATTCATGGCTGTGCACAGGATCCTCACACCCAGTCAATAAAGTGAAATACTAAACCAAAAATGAGCATTTATTCTGATGTTTTGAGCACAGTAGAAAAGAAAAACTAAAGGAGAATAGGCAAAAGAAGGGAATTCTCAAAGTGTGAGAGAACTGCCATAATAAGCTGCCTCATCATTAGGCACTAGCTGCTATTAAATATAATGTGTATTGTGCAACTTTGTTCTTTGTTGTGAAGTAGGACTGGCCTAGTTTTCACTTGTCTGGTACCAAAAAAGGCTATTGCAAATTTTCAGTATGAATTTTAGCAGTATTTTTTAACTGTATATATGTATTTCATGAGAAGTTTATTTATTTATTCATTTGATTACATATTTTATAATGTAAAACTTATTCATGTACAGTGCAATGTCAGAGGTCATTCCCAGATCAACCTACTCCTGCTGGCCATGAAGCTGAACTGTATCAAGCTCTGCTCCCACTCCCAAGATGGACGCATTATACCCCTTGGTGGGTCAGCCTGTGTTAACTGGGCCTGTTATCAGATCCTCTCACACAGCTGCAGCCAGCCTGGAAGGAGTGTGGCAGTAAATCCTGGGAACTGTCTGTTTCGGCCATTGAGAGGAGACCGTATTGGACATAAAGTTGGCCAGGAACAGATGAGGACGCTGAAGTGAACCAATACACATTTGTTTGTGCTTCGTCTATATTTTCTTTTTTTAAACCTAGGAAAAGTGTTTGTAACCACAAACTTGCACCTGCATTTATCTTCACTAAATTTATGTTTGTCTTGAAATTTTTTTATTGTTTTTCTTCACTGTTGACTCACTCGGAATTTTATTCCTGTGGACATTTAAACACTTTTTTGTCTTTGATTTTTAGATTTCAGGCAAAAGAATCAGGTGTTTAATCTGCACATCACCTTTTCATATTAACTTTAATAAAGATTTGCATGCATGCAGAAAAGTGAATTGTGGCTCCCGAGTATTTTCTGAGTCTTAGAAGTTCTCTTAATTCTGCTGGTTTTGTTTGTGTAGCGCCTAAAAATGCACAAGGTTTCTGAGCTGTGTCCCCTTCCTGAGTCATCTCAAAGCCTTAGAGTGGAAAGGTTTATGGCCCGCTTCTCTGGTGATGCTGATTTCAACGCGACGTCTCAAACATCTCTGGGTCCACTGGCTGTCCCTTGGCTAACTCTATCACACTTAGGGTAGAGTTGCTCTTCTTTCTAGAAATTTGGCTGATTTTCTTAGTCATCCAAATGACTGACAGCCAGACAGTCCAGTCCAGGAAGCAGAGTTGTAGTCTTCCACACCTCTCTGCTGCTTTTCCTGTGTTACCCACCCAAACTCAATTGAAACAGTGCCAGCTCGCCCACTGCTTAAATTAAATAAACCAAGAAATCGGCTCTAAAAATATAAATCATAAAAAACTTATTAAAAAACAATTACTTTACCAGAATAAAAATAATAAAATCATTAAATGTGGATTTTTGAACATCAGATATCTTTCCTCTAAATCCCTGTTAGTTAATGATCTGATAACTGATCATCATACTGATTTATTCTGTTTGACAGAAACTTGGTTACAACAGGAGGATTTTGTTAGAATAAATTAATTCACTTCTGCCAATTATTAAAATTTTCACATTCGTAGAACAACAGGTCGAGGTAAAGGAGTAGCTGCTGTCTTTCTGTCAGGATTATTGATTAATGCTAAACCAATTATTAGTTATAAGTCTTTTGAGTTGTTGTCTCTTAGTCTTTCACATCCAAAATGGAAATCAGCAAAGCCACATTTGCTGGTTCATCTTCACTGCAGTTGGTGTAGTCAGTAGCCCCTGGAATGGACCACCTTAAAGAATATTGGAAACCTTAAAGAAGACTTCCATTAGGACATGATATCTCTCGGTTCCCTGTTGGACCTTGTTTCTGTGAGACAGTATCTGCAGAAACAACTTATTTTTGCAGTTAAAAGTCAATGTTTAGTCAGACAGACAGATTTTTGTACCTGGGTTATTGAGCATGCATCAGGATATTTAATCAGACAGTTCAGTTCACAGTATTAACTCTTCCTCATCTTGGATTTGTCCAAGAAGGGACTTTGGTTGTGGAAATCTTCCTGGTTTTTTAGAGAACTTTATTAATTGGCTTTTCTACTGTATGTATGTGAATGTTCCTGTAAAGTGCCCTGAGATAACTTTGTTGTGATATGGCGCTATATAAATAAACTGAATTGAAATTGAATTGAAATAGCATTAAGCCATAATGCATAAACACTCAAACATTTCCCCCCTTCTGCCTCTTCAAAAACACACACAAAAACAATAATTTATTACGTTTTACAAATGGAGCTTTCCATCTGCTAATTTAAATTTATTCTCGGATGGATTTTTTTTATTGTGCTTATCTGTAAACACCGTAGCTCAGATTAATACAAACCGAATACCAGCATGATAAAAATAAATTATTTAATAGGGAAGATTTTTTTTAAGTTCCATGTGATAAGGGTCTGTGCTCAGACTTCCCCTTTCAGGTCAGTGGGCAAGAAGGCGGAGGAGTTACAGATCCAAACCGAGGGGAGTAGTGGTGGAGAGAGGAGCAGGTTGATTCAGACTGAAGTGTTTGTGGTTTGGTAGTTGAAGGGACACTGTTGATCTACAGGAGAGCCACGAAAGAGCAAGGAGGTTTTAGGAAAGACATTACAGACATTACCTTTACATTCACACATACAGTACATCACTTGTGTTGCTGCGCTGAATAAACTGAGTTAACTGCTTCACTTCACAAGAGAGATGGACATATAGACTGAGACTTTACCTTACTGCATATGTTTTTCGACGCGTTTATAATAAAAGTACAAGACAGCAGTGGCAATTTCATGTCGTTTATTAAACAAAAGATATAAATGATCATTACTATACAAGAAAAATAATGAACTTTGAATAGTGAACCTTTACAATCAAACAACTGTCAAATTAACAAATACAACCTGTGTAGTTTATTTTAGTTATGTGCAATATATATCATGTGCATTTAAGCATATATTACTACCTTGAAATACTTATTCATACAAAGTCATCCTACTTGCACTGTTATATTCTACTATGTTCTTGTTTAATATTTCTCTTTAGGACCTTGTAAATATTATATTTACTTTTTCACTTTTTGGCACTTAATTTTGTTCCCGTATTGTGTGCTTTAGTATTTTCTTGTTCGTTTGTTCTTTGTTTTTAGCAAGTCAAATCGGTTCTTCTCATCTTGAACATTTCATTGTACTGCCTTGTGTTAACCTGCATATTGACAAATAAACATAACTTGAATTGTACCACACATAGCACATTATACACCCATCAACAAACTATTATACAGTGATATGGCAGTCTGTAGCAGTGGCCCAAACAAGCAAAGACCTTGTATAAACTTTGATCTTGATTTGTGACCTTGACCTTATAGCTGGAGTGATGAAAAGTTTAAGTGATGTGCTGTCTAGTGGTGGTACCAATTTTTATCAAGTTTCATTAAACTACCTTGAGCGGATCAGAAGTTAAGGCCCGGACAAATGAAAGTTTGCTGACAGAGACTGTCCCATAATTTGTCCATCTTTCAACAGGCATTTAACAATAACAAATTTAAATGAATTAACAATGCCATATTACCAAGACACTACAAAAGTAATGTATTTAAAATTTTCTTTGATTTACAATCTATTTATCTATCCTTTGACCTAATCATTCATTCATTCATTCTTTCCAGCATTTGTCCATCTATCCATCCATATGCAACATAAATGTAAAAATATTACGAGTCATGCAATTCTAGATCTTTCAATTTTCTAAAGAAATCCAACATTTTTAGACATTAGAAAAAAAATAAACAATGTATTTGGTTGTAAAAAATACACTTAAAAAACACATTTATACTAAGTAAATGTCATTGTAAAATCAATTTTTTTCTGGCTTGTATATTTTTCTTAAGTTACATACACCTACAACTATTATGTAAAAATAATTTTTATCACTCATTTTAAACATAAATTTGAGTCATGCTAAAATGAACTGAAAGAAAGTGTACATTTAAGACATCAGACTTAAAATGTGTTGTTAGAAAATAAGTAAAACACTTGAATAAAATGTTTTGACTATTTTAAATCTTTCCAACTTTTATTATGTGGCTACAACAGAACAGTTAACCTTTCAGTTTGTAATTATTCAGAGAAAAGCTGGAACTACTGACTGTACAACTAAAGATGTCTGTGCTGGATTTTGAGTTATATTTTTAAAACAAAATATGAAATCCAAGCAAAAAATGTAGTGTCAAATCACCTACATCTGAGATGAACCGAGAAGAGGAAAGCCACACTTACCAATGGTAAAGCAATATTAACAGTTTCTTTACTGTGATACAAGCTGGATTGGGATAGGTCTTCCCTGGAATCAATGTTGTTGAGGCCACTGAGCCACCAATGACCCAAACACGAGTCAAATGAGGATCAGTTCAGGTCAACAACTTGCCCACATAGTCACCCAAAAGGGTTAAGGTGACAGTCTTTGAGGGGTCTGAGCTCTCAGCTGATGGGAGTCAGGAGTTGGAGGATGATGTGGCATCTATGAGCTATAATTGTAACTGAAATTATCTCTTAAAAGTTACAAATGGGAATTACCCGTCTCCTGTGTGGATTCTCATGTGAGAGTTTAAACTCTTCTTATGGCTAAACCTTTGCCTACAAACATCACACGGAAATGGTTTGTCTCCTGTATGGATTCTCATATGAGAGTTTAAATTTGACTTTTGCCTAAATTCTTGTCCACAAAAATCACAGGGAAATGGTTTGTCTCCTGTGTGGATTCTCATGTGAGAGTTAAAATATGACTTTTCCTTAAATCTTTGTCCACAAATATCACAAGGAAATGGTTTGTCTCCTGTGTGGATCCGCAAGTGGGAGTTTAAGCTCCTCTTATGGCTAAACCTTTGTCCACAAACCTCACAAGGAAAAGGTTTGTCTCCTGTGTGGACTCTCATGTGGGAAGTTATATGTGATTTTCGGCTAAACCTTTGTCCACAAACATCACAAGGAAACGGCTTCTCACCAGTATGGATTCTCAAGTGGGAGTTTAAACTTGCTTTTTGGCCAAATTTTTGTCCACAAACATCACAAGGAAATGGTTTGTCTCCTGTGTGGGTTCTCATGTGTTTATCCAAAGTACATTTCTGGCTAAACCGTAGTCCACAAACTGCACAAGGAAAAGGTTTGTCTCCTGTGTGAATTCTCTTGTGTTTGTTCAAACTACACTTTAAACTAAACTTTTGTCCACAAACATCACAAGGAAATGGTTTGTCTCCCGTGTGGATTCTCATGTGGGAGCGTACGCTTGACTTATGGCTAAATTTTTGTCCACAAACATCACAAGGAAATGGTTTGTCTCCTGTGTGGATTCTCATGTGAGAGTTTAAATTTGACTTACGGCTTAATCTTTGCCCACAAACATCACAAGGAAAAGGTTTGTCTCCAGTGTGGACTTCCATGTGTGCTTTTACACATTTTTTGCTGGTAAATCTTTTGGTGCAGTCATCACATTTAAATGATTTTGGTTCTGTCTGAACATTTCTGTGTGACTCTACATTTTTCTTCACTCCATCACTTTTCATATGAACAAAACAGTTTGAAGACCTTACCCCTGGATGACATGTCATATGTCTCTGAAGAGACTGGTTGTCGACATACTGTTTACCACATTCGAAGCAGCTTAAACTGTCTTTAGTTTTTGGTCCACAGTCTGAAAAGTTCTTCATCTCAGAGTCAGGATAGCTTACATCCCCGTCATTTTCATAATCCTCACTGAGTTCAGTGTCTGAAGAGTTGGTATCGTCTTTGTGAGTGTTTAGATTTGGGTTCCTGATAGTTTCTGCCTCTCTACAATTATCTCCGTTAGTTGCTTCTTTCATCTGATCAGCTGAGCTGCTGGTTGCAAGATTTCTGTCCTCCACTTGGTACTGATGAATCTGTGAAAACAGAGGCTTCTCTTCATCATCTTCACTTTTCAAATGAACTGCAGTTATGGAAAACCTGGTGACATCAGTCTCCTCTTTCACATTGAGTTGGTCTCTTTCCAGACAGGTCCAAGGTTCCTTTTCTTCCTGTTTTATGTTGAGGGGCTCTGGGTCCAGCGGGTCCACACCAGGCCTCCATTCTTCAGATTCTTCTTCTTTAATCAGCACCATTTGTTGAACATGTGCGGGGACCACTGAAACACATGTACAGGACAACATTACCTTTACACTCACACACACAAACATCAATTGTGTTGTTGCACTGAGTAAACTGGGTTCACTGCTGCACTGCTGTTGGTGAGCATGTATGTTGGTGAGATGTAGGAGCTAGCTTAGCTTTTAATTTAATTAAATGAACTTCATTCGAATAATGCTACTTCACAACAAAATCATCTCAGGGCTTTGTACAAAAACTTCCATATAAATTCTAAATTGCCATTTAGTGGAAGAACTAATGTCCCTAGCCTGGACGTAGGTCACCCACTCATTAACCAGGCCATAGAAAAAGGCTCATTGACAGAAGACTGGGGTGCAGGCCTCAACCCATGCGCCCCAACAGATATGGATAGAGGCCTGGACCATAATAGGGAAATCACACTCCTCAGCTTCCCTGGTAAGGTTTATCTATGGGTGCTGGAGAAGCAAATCTAGTTGATAGTTGAACCTCGAATTCAGAAAGAACAATGAGGGTTCTGTCCCGACCGTGGAACACTGGACCAGATTTCAACCCTTGCTAGAGTCCTTGAGGACACTTAAGAGTTTCCCGAACCAGTCTACATTTTTTTTGTGGACTTGTAGAAGGCATTTGACCATGTTCTCTGGAGTACCTACTCTGTAATTATTGGATTAGGCTGCTACAGGCCTTTTAGTTTCTATACTAAAGGTGCGAGAGTCTGGTTCAACTTGCCAGCACTAAGTTGGACCTCTTCAGGCTGAGATTCAAACTCTGCTAAGGCTGCCCATTGTAATGATTTTGTTCATAACTTTTACAGACAAAATTACTCAATGCAGCTAAGTCTATCATCTGTGGGCCTCAGGTTCCAATCCTGTTATTTGTGGATTTTGTAGTCCTGTTGGTGTCATCGTGCAGCGATCTCCACCACTCACTGGAGCTGATGAAGAAGAGCACCTCTAAATCTGAGGCTATGGTCCTCAGTCAGAAAAAAAATGGACAGCCCTCTCCAGGTTGGGAGTAGGGTGCTGCCTCAAGTGGAGGAGTTTAAGTATCTCAGGGTTTTGATCACCAGGAAGGGAAAAATACAGTTTCCTCTACCATTATCCAAGAAGGGCACCCTGCCACCCCAGTGGAACCCCCACTTACCTATGAAGGACATAGTATTTAATATATTAATAAACTTCTGCATGTGACCAATCCACTGCTTCACTGTTGAGATATTAAGGGCTCACCAGTTACATTAGTTAGATGTAGGAGAGTTGTAAAATATCTTGTTTTTATCTTCTTGTATTGGTTAGACTTTTGAACTAGGACATTTAATAAGAAGTTTGTCATGTTGCTATGGGATGTAAAGATGAAGAAAAGCAGAATCAGTAATGACTCAAGTACAGCAGAAAATAAGTATGCAATGACCAAATAAGGACTTGTAAACCAGTCAAACCAAACTGTTTATGAAGGAGGAACGTAGGCACAAGTGCTGACCTTCGGCATCTGGCTTGTTTGTAGTTTGTTACTTTTGATGTTTGTAATCATATTTTTTTGTAACATTGCAGTACAGTTTATACCTGATGAACATGTGAAGCAATACTTTTGCAAAATTACTGGTTTGTCTCAAGTTTTGGACTATATGGGGTGTTTTAAATGCTGAAAGTGGACCTTTAGGATACAAGCAACAGAGGATTGCCTACTCTTGGCAAGAGTGCTGAGGTTTTTTTTGACCTGCTGACTTTTCAACACCCCCTCACCCCCCGACCCTCCTCTACAGCTGCCTTGAAATAACCAGGTTAGAAAATCAATCAGGCAGTGGTAGAGCTAAAAGGAAAATGCGTGGATCCAGCGGACGACTTCGGAACCGGCTTAAATGGAGGGGCAGCTGCTTCCCTCCCTGAAAATCAAGCTTTCCAATGTGCGTTCAATAAGACGTAAAATGGAGCAGTTATCTGAGCTTTTAAAACACGATAGATACCATACTTCAGTAGAGCTAACCTTCTATGTTTCACTGAGTCCTAGCTTACGGAGAACGATAACATCACTGACTTGGAGGGATATACAACAATCCATATCAACAAATACACACAGTGAATAGAGAAAAGCATTGAAGGTGGGTTGTGTATGTTTGTGGATGATATAGGAATGATTATTTTGATGCTTTTATGTCAATTTACACTC